ACTTATTATCTGGGACTCCCTCTGCTTAATGACCCACAATTCTCAGTTAATGATGGCGACTAGGGATGCCAGGATTGTGGTCGCTAAGTGATGTGGTCATGTGAAGTCTCGCTTTACAACCACATCGCTTAGCGATGGAAATTCCAGTCCCAATTGTGGTTGTTAAGCAAGGACTACCTGAAATTTAGGAGACTTAAGAACCAGCAAATTTGCAACATTTCAGTGTATTTGAAATAGTTTCATTTTTCATAGAGATTCATGACTATGCTTCTCTAGAGAAGGCATTTTAAAAAATTCTTTGAGTCTGGAGAAGAGCTGAGTGATCTCTCTGGCCTCATGTGAATAGTATCAAAAAGACATCTACTTTTAAAAATGCTCAGTGTGATGTCAAAGAGTGTTTTGCCCGCTGTCAAAGCAGTGATCAGGTGCCCAGGCAGTTGGTTCTTTTAGATCCAGAGACAATGAACACACCAGCAGGTAAGGAGATTTTAAGTTTTATTGTTAACTCTAGCAAACAGATTTAAACAGGACTATAAGAATTAGCAGATAGAATTAAACAAATACATAAGCATAGTATGAAAGAATAACATACCAAGCAAGATGATAAAACTCTTCCCCTACTCTTGGGAGCTACCATAAGGCGATAGACCCCAAGATGGCTTAGATAACACAGTGCCTGGGAACTGTATAGATAAGCTAGTTCTTAACTTAAACAATCCTGAAGGTCACCCCTCCCACTCCTAAGTAAAAGTAAAAACAAGCCAGCTAAACATTATTGTTACTCAGAGTGAACTTTCTCAATATGTGCAGGAGAAATCAAAATATGTCACCTAAACTCCTTGAAATAACAATGGTCTTCTGCATTGCCACTACACAGAGATTCACAGCTAACAACTGAGTAAAAGAATTGTGGCTTGTCTCAGTATTTGCATTTGACCATAGACTGCCTGCGTGATCAAGACCTGGTCTATTTTTGCTTGGGAAAGGAGCCTAAATTCATACTTGATTTATATTTTGAATTCTATAAAAAAGAAATACTTAAATCTATAGAACTAAAATTTTATGTGAGACATATTATGTCTTTTAAAAGAAGTCTGATGTATTTAACATGCTCTTATTGTCCAAATATAATGCATTCTTTTATTGAAGTAACTGCAGTATTTTGAATTTTAGGTGGTTCACACTTACTCAGGTCACCGAACAGATATTCTTTTTATATTGCCGTTTGGGGATCATGTTATCTCTGTTGATAATGACAGCATTCTTATTATTTGGGATGTGCAATCAGAAGGTAAGACTAGCCTTTTTAATGTAATAACTACTGGGAAAAAATGTGTATTTGTGGTGGACATGGACTAATGCTGTTCTTTATTCTGCAGAAGAATACTTGCAGCTGGATTTTGATAAGACTATATTTGCCATTTCTGCTGTTTTACACCCATGTACTTACATGAATAAAATACTTCTTGGTAGTGAACAAGGACCTTTACAATTGTGGAATGTAAAATCCAAGTAAGAACTTTTCAGAGACTTAAATCATAAATCACTTGTCAGGTACTTAACTCTCATATTTTAAGATGTGGAACTAAATGAGTACACAGTCCTGGTAGAGATAAAGAGTGAATGGAAATTGAGCAGTACTTTGCTGGCTTTGGCTGATCTCGGAAGCTAAACAAGGTTAGTCCTTACTAGAACTAGGGTGGGGGCACCTTCTGGAAGTTCTAGGGGCATTGGCCAAATGGAGAATTTAAAAAAACATCCCAAAGAAGACTGTGGTAAATGCTTCCATGATGCTATCAAGGAAACTTCAGGATTGCAGTTGCCAGCAGTAAGCTTGACTCAAGGGCATCTTTACCCTTTTAAGAAAATTAAAAAATGTCTTTATAAACAGAACTTAAGCTTGGAGGGTAAGTCATCTCTCTAAGGGATTTAATAAAAAGTCATTTTGAGGTGGTATAACAATACTCCTACACTTTTACTTTTCTTCAGATTGGCTGGGTTGTTTTCTTCCTTGACATTACTGGCCCTCTATTTAGATGAGAGAAAGACCTGTTCTTTGGAAGAATTATAATGAATATGTGGGGCAAATATGCTTTTCCTTAACTCTGCTCATCCTGAGAGAAGGGCTGCCTGCCTTTTATTTTAAAAGGGCTGAAGTATTGATCATATTCTTTGAGAATAGGAGGAATTTTCTTGTTCATTGTTCTCAGGCTCCAAGCTAATTATACAAGTAATTTCCCCCACTGCCAGCTTTAAGTAATAAATATTCTAAGAAACAAGTGTGTTTAACCTGCAGGCTTTATGTGGCTTCTAGCAACCCCATTTTGTCACATGGAGCATCCTGGACAAGTGAAAATGCCTACCTCTTTTGGATAGTTTGATAATTAAAAAAAAAAAAGGGTGCCTTCTTATTTAAATTTTTTAGAAATCTCTAGTTTCCACCACAGAATTAGTTTTCCTATTTTGTGGGGATCAAGGGACAAAATGGGCATCAAGGTGAACGGAACCTATTTTTGGCCCTTAAGCCCCTTCATAGCAGGCTGAAAACTTTTGCCCTGTCCCCTGTAATAGTATCATTACAGGCCATGCCCCATATAATCTTCAGATATTTTTAAAGAGCAAACTCTCCACCACCACCCCCATGCATGCCTTGCATATACTGTAGAAAATTCCATGGGATGTTTTTCAGTGGAGTAAAGTAACATGTTTTTAAAAATATTTTCCCACTCTGTCATATATGTGGTGCAGTTTATCTTTAATGTGACTCTGGTAAAGGAAAAAGTCTTAGCTGTTGTTGCAAATTCTGGAGACAGTTTGCTTTTGTTTCTCATCTTCTCTTTTTTCATGGCAATAGTCGTTCTGAAATAGGTAGCTCATGTCCTTTTTTATTAATACTGATAGGGCTTCTACCAAGTTTTTGTTCCTCTTCTGAGAAGAGGTCCCTGGTTAATGCTTAGGCTATTTTGTAATTCCTGGATAATTAAAAGTTTCAGGACTATCTTTTTTCCCTTTGATTAATATATCTGAAGGAATGCTTTCAAGAACGATTTTTTTCCTTGACTCAAACAAAATAAATGAATAAAAACACAAGCTGGCACTACTGCAAGGAAAATAGTACCACTGGACCCAACATGAGTTATTTCCCAATTACAAAAATCAAATAATCTAAGAGTTTTTTTGGGGGGGGAGAATAAAACATGAGAAAAGTAAAAATATGATTCTTAGGTTACATCTCAACACTCACTCCAGGAGACATGTCTTAGTAGTAGTTTAAATAGAAGGTTTAATTTCAGCTGATTAAGTATTCAGTGGGGTATTGATTGCATACTTTTTTATGCTCTGGTGTTTATAAACTGTTTGATTAGGAAATGTCCTTTAGTTAAAATTCTTTTGGATAGCGTTTTGAGTATTTTTGGTCGTTAAAAAGTTCTGAATGTTTTCCTTTCCACAGCAAACTTTTATATACATTTCCAGGATGGGGTGCAGGAGTGACAGTCCTTCAACAGGTAATTATGAGTTACAGGTTTATAGAAAATGAACATGTAATAACAGTTACATTTTGTTCATTGATAGTGTTTCAGAATATTTTAGGAACATTGTTGGCAGATCTATTCCACTAAGCCTGTGTCCAAATAACACTACCCATATACAGGTAGTCCTCGCTTAATGACCACAATAGAGACCAGAAAATTTGTTGTTAAGCAGGGTGGTTGTTAAGCAAATCGCGCCCGATTTTACAACCTAAATAGAATTTGCCTATGATTGAGGGGTAGAAAAGAAACCCATCAATATTAGTAGCTGATGTTAGCTGACTTCTGTGAATTTTATTGCCTTTTAATCATCCAAAATGACTGTCATTACTGCACACCACATCTGCTAGCGCTCCATACACTTCTCTTAACAGTAGTAAATAACAAGTTTCTGTCTTGATAGTTTACATACAGTTAGCTGGATTAGACTTGTTTTAAAATAGGATCTTCTTACAGCTAAATCTCATTCTATTTTTTGTAAATATTTATTTATATGATCATCAGTTTTATTTTAAAAATAAAGAGTATACATTGCCATCATCAAGAAAAGCATGGAGAAGCTAACATGTCTAGAAAGAAATTCTATTGGAATCATACCTCCTATGTTTCCAACATGATATTTATGTTCTTTTAGACAACCCTGTGACCCATTGGGTCATCCTTTGAGAGAAAGGTAGTGCAGTCTAATGTGACCAGAACACACATTAAATTTTAGGCTGACCATATTTTTTTTACCCCAATGCTGGACAGTCCTATGATCATCTAAGAAGAGTATATATCATAAATAGAAAAATAATTGTAGTGACAGACAAACTTCAATAATAAGTCAGTATTTACTTACATAAACAGATAAACAGAATGTCCACAGGCAGGCAAAAAGCAGTGGGAGTGGAGCAACTTCTGACTTCTTGCCAGCTTCTCCATTAGCTTTGCTTGTGGGAAGCTGGCAGGGAGTGTCAGAAGTCACGATCATGTGACCACAGGGACCCTGCAGCGGCCACAACTTTGCTAATAAAACTGGTCTGAACATCATGGAAATTTCAGTTCCACAGTGGTAACAAGTCCTGGACTTTTTACGCATTCTTTAAGTTAATGGATTTTAGGTACCTTGATTCAAAAATTGTGGTGTAATGCACTGTGTGGACTAACCTGAGGGTACAAACAAACAAACAGCAAAACATAATGAGAGTCTTAGTAGTATATAGAAAGAAGATAGAAGATTTCAAAATCTGAAAAGTCTGATTTATTATGCATATTCATTTTCTTTGCAGGCGCCAGCAGTGGATGTCATTGCAATTGGGCTTGTGACTGGTCACATTATAGTGCATAATATTAAGTTTGATGAAACACTGATGAAATTTCAACAAGATTGGGGGCCCATAACAGCAATATCATTTCGTACAGGTAAATTTCTGGATTTATTAAACAATAATAACAAAAATTGGAAAAAGTGCAAGGAGTGTCAGCTATGCTATGAATTAAAACTCAAACAGAACACAATATTGATTTGTTTGCTAGCTTAACAGCTCTTATGCTTCTTTTAATTTTACTATTGTTATTTTTTGTCATTATTTTTGTATGCTTACCCTGGTGCTTTCAAGTCAGTGTTGACTCTTGCAAGGACTAGTCCTTGCAGTTTTCTTGGAAAGATTTCGGAAGTGGCTTGCTCTTGCATTCTTCCTAGGGCTGAGAGAGAGTGACTGGCCCAAGGTCACCCTTCTAGGTTCATGCTTAAGGCAGGACTAGAACTCACAGACTCCTGGTTTCTAATCTGATGCCTTAATCACTACACCAAACTGGCTCTCAACCATAAAGTACTTTCTTTAATTTTTTGTATGTGGATATATCTGTTTAAAACCTGTTTTAAAGTTTGTTGACTTTCTTTTCCAGTAGTAAATGTTAAGGAAGAACATTTATATTTTCCTCCTATTTTTTGGATCAGATGGGCATCCAGTTGTGGCTGCTGGAAGTCCTGTTGGGCATATTGGGTTATGGGACTTAGAGGAAAAGAAACTTTTGGGCCAGATGCGAGATGCACATTCTACAGCAATTTCGGGTATGTCATTTGTCCAAGGAGAGCCACTTCTCATTACTAATGGTGCAGATAATGCTATTAGGGTAAGTTCTATCTGTTTAGCTAATTTTTCTCCTAAAACTGTTTACATGTCTATGAATGTTTGTTATTTTGTTCTTGGAAATGAAAGTGTGTCATATTTTCAGTTATATAACATTGTCCCTAGAATAGCAGCATTGTTTAAAAACAATGCACAAAATGGCTTATTTGTCAAGAGTTATTGCAGTTGAACCTTGTGAACTGAGAAATAGGTGAAGTTCTGCAGAGCATTAAATGAGCTAATTCTTTGCAGATTATACTGATTGTTAGTATATTTGGACAGTGCTAAAGATAGTTTGAATTATATAAGTTGTCTCTTCTGTCAGTATGCAGATCTGGGACCCAATTCAGATTCTTCAAAGACCACCTATTTTCCTTCTGTCTGAATCAGATTCTCTCATTAGAAATTCACAGCTTTGCATGACCTTTCATTAATAATAATGTGAAATCACCAAACTGCCATAAGACATTTGCTTTTTAACAAAACTAAATGAAAATTATCAGCATCTTTAGCCTTTTGAGGAGTATAAATGAATAGGTGCAGGGATTTTGTGTATATATCCCTTATGTTTCATTTTAAAGAAGAGGACTTTCAGTATATTTTATTTCTTGACAGATTTGGAAGAAATTTCTAGGTATAGTTCTTTTTGAGAAGATAAATCTGTCAGATAGAGGAAAGGTCTCTAAAAGAATCTTTAAAAGTTCCACCCATCCTTGCATTTTTGTGGGCATTTTGTATACAAATAGTTAATTCTGTAGAGGTGCTAAGTAAATTATAACATTTTAAGATTATGAGCACAGAGTCTTCAAAATTGGGTGGTGAGGTTTGCTGTTCCTTCCTTCTCCCCAAGCATGTTTATTTAGTGTAAAAAAAACAACATTCAGCATTAGAATGAAAAGTGTTGTTATGTACTGAATAGCACCTCTGTGATCCAAGGCAATTACAGTGGCAAAGTTAGTTATCATTACCAGCCCCACTCCCTGATTGACTAGACCTGTGGGCCTGCTGACTATAAATTGCAAGCAGGCATTATCTTTGTCACTAAATTATGCCTTGCATTCGGTTGAATCAGATTGCCTGAAATGATAGGCAGTCATTACACTCTGGGTAATTCTCCACTGCTTATTGTTTCAGACAATCTGATACACATGTCTCCCCTAAAGTATTGTAATAGTATTTCTAAATAGGGAAATATTGCTAGTAAAAGTAGTAAATACTCTAAATGAGAAACTACAGTCCAATGCTATGTTTTATTTATAATAATGAGCTTGGGAAAAAAAATTTTTTTCAAGCATAAGTTCTGCATCTGTATTGGCCTCTGAATAAAATAAAAATAAAATAAAACCTCATGAAATTAAGGTTCAGAGTATTCCCAAATTGACTTGGATACCTTCAGGTTTTGCAATAAGGTATATGTGTATATGCATACACACAGAAATATATATCAGTGATTTTTTGAGGCATCAAATACTATCAGGCAATCTTGTACAATGATTCATTAAAAAGTCACATTATTGTGCCAAATTTCACATAATTTCAACATCCTAAACTTGTGTGAGATGTCAGTATTTTCATTCAAAATCAGTAAGATTTCAGGCTTTTTATTTCTTTTTCTTCAGTTTCCTATTTTTTATTTTTAAATTTGGGGTATTGGGGGTGCCATCCAGGTTGTTGCTAATACAACACTGCAATCCCTGGTATAAGTTACATCCAATTAATGTTCTATTTGTTAAATGGTTTCTTTCAGTTAAAAATAGAAAGAAGTTAATTCTCCCTGGATAAATAACTTGAATGTAGTATCATTTTTTAACAGTACTGTGTTAAATAAAGCAATATTCATCCAAATAATGAGAAAAATTTTGTTCATCCTAAAAGAAATGTCATGCACAAAACTACCATGCATTATTACTTTATTATGATTTTGTTTTAATGTTATGGTGACCTGAAGTTATACTTTCCTTGGGAAAGCTTTTCTTTACTTTGTTGCTTACTAAGTTTGTTCATTTATTTCATAGGTATGGATCTTTGATGGCCCTGGAGGAAGTGGTAGACTCTTAAGATATCGAATGGGACATAGCGCACCTCCAACAAAAATCCGATATCATGGGCAAAACGGGCAGCATATTCTTAGTGCTAGTAAGAGTTCCCTTTTTGTTCTATTGAAATGATTGCAGGTAGTTCTCACTTAACAATCGTTCATTCAACAACCATTCAAAGTTTTGATGGCTCTGAACAAATGGTGTTTATGACTAGTCCTTGAAGTTACAGCCATTGCAGTGCTCCTATGGTCATGTGATCAAAATTCAGGCACTTGGCAGCCCACCTGCATTTACGACCACAGTGTGCACTTCAGTTCCCTCTACCCACCTATCTCCTTCCCATCTCGGCCCTTTTAGACTCCCTGCATTCCGCCATCCCTGCTGCCCTCCGCCATCCCCAGCTAATCTTTGCCATCTTCTTCCTCCTGGTCTGGCCCTTTGCAATGC